AATTTCTTCGGTCACTGTTATGTTCGATAGCGTTGGACATTTTGGCATTTGTGTGCGATATACTGCCGTCTGTTGCTGGTGCACCCGCACCGCATGCTCAGACACAATCATCCAAAAATAAACAAATTGCACAATATTTTTTACCACAAATCAAACTGTCTCGTTCACCTTCAATTTCCTAATCTATTTTCCTATTATTATTATTTTTTGCACACTTCGGAGAGCTTCCTCTCTTCAAAGTCTCTGGACGATATTGACACTTGGTACAGGCGCACCTCTTCCTCCCAGAACACCGCAATCTCTCGGCCTTCATCGCGGCTCACATTATTGGTATTGACAACATCACATCTCTGCCAGTCATTCAACGGCGTGCTGTCTGCGTGCTGTATATAAATAATATTCCACGACAATCCCTCAGAAAACTCCTCCCAACCTTCAAAATATTTAGCCATACGCTCATTGAACTGCCTCACAGTGCTGGGTATGGTGTGATGCTCACTCGCCGTAGTCATCTGCAGTCCAACCAGCGTCTTCGGATTTGAGTCCAAAAAGAAAAAGCCGTCCACCAACGGAAAGTTTTCAGCCTCCGGTTTGTACAGCACCCGACACTCTATATTAATTTTCTTTTTTAAATTTTCCAGGCACTCTAAAAGACAGGGCTTGAAGGGGCGCTCATGTAGACGCACTCTCAACGCACAGCGGTGTGGTGGAGCATCTTTTTCTAGTTTCAGCTCCCTGAGTTTCGGTATTATTGCATTTACAAAGGCCTCACTTAAAAATGCAAACAAGGAATGATCTTCAAGGACTTTTGATATGAGATCGTCCTTGATAGCCAATATGAGTAAATTAAAATCATTCGGCACCATTAACTCCGCCAACTTGCATAACGTTAATTCTGCAAGGTGGGAAGATACCAGTGCATTGTAAGGCAATTCGGAATCATCTTTTCCTCGTACTCGTACGACCTTTACAAGTTTGTGAGAGACGTGGCTACCATCACACACTTTATCAGTCCCCAAAACAGAGTAATAGTTGGTATCCGGCAAGGCCATTTTATTAACTGTACTTCTGCACGAGTCGATCCGCTCTTTGTATTTGCGCTGATCAAAGACGTAGCGAAGAAGCGGTCCCACTTTATCCATTCGACCCTCCACCATCTTCATGTACACCGCTTGCACAGTTGGCTCATTGCGCTTCATACAAACGCACATCGCCTTTACATCGTCTTTCTCAGGACAATTCATTACGATTCGTACGGATCCACTTTGTTTCTCCCATTCTTTGAAGTTGCCCTCGTTCGGTGATGTCACCACAATCATGCCCCATCCCTTGCAAGGCAAACTATCAGGCGGTTCATGACCCTGTTTTGCCACATCGTAGATAATATACCCCTCCACCCCACGATCAGAAAACCCGTCCAAAATATCCACGATACTAGACGCCGCACTGTATCTTGTCACCGTTTTGGTGGTCTTGTCAAATAGGAATTTTCGATCCGCAACAACGTACGCAACCATTGGGAGCTTCTCCGCATCGTAGTGCAGCAGCTGGTAGAGGAGGTACGAGCCGGCATTCATCGACTTCCCGATCCCGGGCGTCCCAATCAACACATGCCGCTTGGGGATATAGTCGGACCCTTCGTAGGCGCTGAACGATTCGGTGAGATTGCCCTTGACGATCTGCCACACTCGCTCCACCTCACAGTCCACATAGCAGTCACGAATATTCTGTCCATCATTTTTCCACGTGTACGGCCATCCCTTGTCGGAAGTGAGCACCATCAGCCTGGGACGCGGTGCACCGGATTGCAACACACCGTCATCCTTTTCGAGAGTGTAGCCAACTTCCTTGTACGTCCATGACTGTTCCGGTTTCCCCTCCTTCACCTCCATTCCCATCCCCTCGCCGCCAACAACCTTCACCACATGACTCCAACTCGCATTGTACACAGAATTGTAGAACCCCTTCAGCACCTTTGAAAAAACCACGGGCGTTGATGTCTGCGCCCGAGAAAGGGCAGCGTTTATTTTTCCCCTTGCAATGGGAGTGACTGTATCCTTTCCTTCATAGTCCCTCCATTGCTCGAGAGAAACCACACCCTCGTGATGAAGCCTATTAATAGCCTCCAGCGCTTGGTACTCTGTTAAATTAAAAATAATTCTAAGAAGCCGCTGGTCTTGTACGTAAGCATCCGGCTCCTGAACAAACACCTGCATCGTCACGTTGTGGTCTTCACCAACGGCCGCCCTGCCGCCAACATAATTCCGAAGGAAATCGTTCAGCTTCATGTCGGTCCTGAGAGTGCTTCCCTCCAGCAGAATGTCCTTTACGCTGCTGCTCATGGTCCAATTTGGTCGCCGCGTTTCCTCAACTCCTCTGCGAGCTGCAGCGTCGGAACCATCACCGGGGATGCCGCTTCGAGGCGCCATCACAACACCCGTGCGGTGAAGCATCCCACTCGCACCGCCCAACTGCGGCCAGCAGGTGCTGCTGGCTCCAAAGGACAGTCGCGGCTGTTTCGTCCCGCTGTCCCAATGGCGTTGGGCGTGGCACTCGCAGAGCGGGACGGTCGGCGCGCCATGCAGCCGCACTGCAACGCCTGTCGGTGAAGCAGTCAAGGCCCACCGCCCCCGCAGCAACGCAACGTGCAATCGGCCACAACACCGCCACATTATTGTCCTTTTTTTTTTTTTACGATTCACCTTGTCTGTTTATTTGCCCTATCCCTAACACTAAAAACAACTGCACAACTTCACAGAGGAGGGAAATCTTATGGGCCGCTGGCCGGATCCTGTAATTACCCAAAAAGAAAAAAGGAAAAAAAGCGGTAAGTGGAGAAGTAGTGGGATCTCCGTAATGTTTGCCCCAATATGTCGATGTATACACATTCTGCTAATCACCGCCCTTGACTCCTGCAGATGGTTAGAATTAGAAACACTTATCCCCCGCGAAGCGGCAGGCCTTTGGGCTCCTCCAGCCACAAAAAAACGCCGCAAGGTGAGGATCACAAAGTGGGTGGTTGTGAAGATAAAAAATAAAAAAATAATTTCGTCTGGCAGCTGTCGGCTCCCTGACTCCCTCAATCGCAGTCTCCCAAAAGACAGTGCGATAGAAGAGAAAAAAGTTGTGAAGAGATATCTTCGCTTGCGCGAGATATGAATTTATTTGGGCAGCCCGCCGCCCTCTCAGGCATTCTTTTCACAAAATCCCATAAAAATAAAGAGAAATTCCGCGGCCCCTGTAGTGCGCAACAGCCTCTAGTGACGATGCGCCTCTGGTGGAAAAAATAAAATAAAATAAAAAGTGTGTGGTGAGTGTGGCACTGCCGATCACAACGGTTCTCTGAAAAGAAAGGCATTCACTGTCTAGACCCCGTAGGCACACACATATAAAAATCGTTAAAATACTCCCAATATATTTCACTATAAGCAAAATGCACTTTGCTTCTACTTATTTTTTTTTAATTTCCTTGCCTATCCCATTTCTAAAAGATTTCTGTATTCACTTTGCTCGGATTTTATTTACAAAATCAGTTGTCAACGCAAACTGGTATTCGTGTACGTTTCCGTTCCAGAACGCCACAATCTCTTTTTCAGCTTCGCTCAAATTTTTGGTATTGACGGGACCACATCTCTGCCAGTTCGTTATCATTGTGCTGTTTTCGTGCTGCACATAAATCATCTCCCACGACATGTCTCGGGATAATTTCTTCCAGCCCTTAAAATATGCCGCCATATTATTTTTGAACAGATTCACAGTGCTGGGTATGGTGTGGTGCTCACCCGCCGTAGTCATCTGCAGCCCAACCAGCGTCTTCCGCGGCGAATCAACAAAGAAAAAGCCGTCCACCAGCGGAAAGTTTTGAGCCTCCGGTTTGTACATAACCCGATACTCCATCGGAATCCTCGTGACACCGTTTTCCAGTTCCCCTAATCCAACGGTGCGAGTGGGATGCCCTTGATGGTTTAACTTCAGCACTGAGGACCGTGGTTTGGAAGGCGATGGTGGCGGCAGCTCCTTGAGTTCCTTTACTAATGCACTGATAAACTCCTCATACATGAAGGCGCACAAACCTAATTGTTCCAGAGCTCGGGAAGCAAGAGTACCACGCGATGCCAACACTAGCAACAAAATATCCTTCGGACCAATTACCTTTGCCAAACGGTCCGCAGTTCGAAACCCGATATTATCACATATCGGTGCGTTCAGAAATATCTCAGCTCCTTTTTCTGTTCTTGCCCGGACGATCTTCACAAGTTTGTGAGACGGATCCTCGGAATACCATTTCTTCTCTCCTCCCATGGAAAAGTACTCTTCAACATCAGTATCCTTGATTGCTAGCAAGGCATCATCAACGGCACCCAAGCGAACAATATAAATTTCCTCATCAAAGATGTGACGTGGAATCGGCCCCACTTTCTTCATGCGTTCTTTGACCTCTTTCCAGTATCCCGCTTGCTCATTTGGTTTCAGACCGCGCTTCATCCATGCACACATCGCCTTCACATCCATCTCGTCGGGGCAATTCATGATGATTCGACTGGCTTGTAGTTGCTTCTCCCACTCATCATAGTTGGTTACCTTTGGCGATGACACCACAATCATGCCCCATCCGGTGGAGGGCGCAAAGCCTGTGTCGGGCGGTGTTCCTTTCTTTGCCACATCGTAAATAATATACCCTTTCATCCCACGCTGCCAAAAACCACGCAAAACATTCTTGGATGTTATGTTACCCTCGTATATTGTCACGGTTTTGGTGGTTTTGTCAAACACGTACGCCGTTTCTCCAAAACAGTGGACAACAACTTGGAGCTCCTCCACATCGTAGTGCAGCAGCTGGTAGAGAAGGTACGAACCGGCAGCCATCGACTTCCCGATCCCGGGCGTCCCAATCAACACACGCTTCTTGGGCTTAAAGTCGGTTCGACCGTGACTGCTGAACCACTTGGTTAGATCGCGCTCGACGATCTGCCACACTCGATCCACCTCGCAGTTAATAAAGAAGTCATTATCAGTCCCATGCGGCGCATTCAGCGTGTACGGCCATCCCTTTTCCGAGGTGAGCACCATCAGCCTGGGAGGTGCTTTACCGGATTTCCGCACACCGTCATCCTTTTCGAGAGTGTTGCCAGCTTTCTTGTACGTCCATGACTGTTTCGGTTTCCCCTCCTTCACCTTCATTACCGTCCCCTTTTTCTTTTTCTTTCGCTTATCGCCGTCGGGAATTTCCACCACATGGTGCCAACTCGCATTGTACACAGACTCGTACAATCCCTCCAGTTTCAACGCTTCAATCGTCGTTCGGTTTCTCGCTTCCTGAAGGGCTGCATCCAAGGAGTGTTTAGTGATGTCATGAACAGTTTTTTTTACGTTTGCGGCAGCTTCTGACCACCCAAGTAGATTGCTGACACCATTTTTGTAAAGCTTGCGTACAACTTCTTCCAAATCCATTTCCTCCCTTACAGTCTTCTCCATCCTCGCATAAGCATCGGTTATCTGTATTTCTTTCAATACTCCTTTATCACGGATATACTTCTTGGGGTTCTTGAAAAACTCCTTCAGCAAAACACTCCGATTGGTGGCCACAACGCCCCTGCCGTCCAATTCCATCGTAAGAAAGTCGTTCAGCTTCTTTTCCTTGACGCGGACTCTTCCTTTGAACAGTACATCTTCGATCGTAGTGGAAATGGTAAATTTCATTTCTTGCGTTCCTCTTAGCCTTTCTGTCAGTATCTGAGTGAGGGCTGCGTTTAGTTTTCCCCTTGCAGCAGGAGTGACCGTATCCTTTCCTTCATAGTCCTTCCATTGCTCGAGAGAGAACACACCCTCGTGATGAAGTTTGTACACCTGGTACTCTGTTAAATTAAAAATAATTCTAAGAAGCCGCTGGTCTTGCACGTAAGCATCCGGCTCCTGAACAAACGCCTCCATAGCGACGTTCTCATTTTTTTTTCACAACGCCCTTGCCGCCCAAGTTCCTCCGGAGGAAATCGTTCAGCTTCATGTCGGTCCTGAGAGTGCTTCCCTCCAGCAGGATGTCCTTTACGCTGCTGCTCATGGTCCACTGTGGTCGCTGTTTACTCCCCGCCACATGTCGAGCTGCAGCGTCTGAACCATCACGAGAGCCACGGCGAGGCGCCATCACAACACCCGTGCGGTGAAGCATCCCACTCGCACCGCCCAACTGCGGCCAGCAGATGTCGCTGGCTCCAAAGGGCAGTCGCGGCTGTTTCGTCCCGCAGTCCCAATGACGTTGGGCGTGGCACTCGCACGGCTCGGTGGTCGGTGCGCCACGCAGCCGCACTGCAACGCCTGTCGGTGAAGCAGTCAAGGCCCACCACCTCCGCAGCAACGCAACGTGCAACCAACCACAACACCGCCACATTATCGTCCTGTATATTTTATTTTATTCACGTTGTCTGTCCGTTTGCCCTATCACTAACACTAAAAATAAGTGTGCACCTTCACAGAAAAAAAATAAAGGAGGCGCGATCCCACCGTCCCGATGCAACTCAGCACTTTCCCCCACCCACCACCATTGCTGCACAGGAGACCGCAGTCACATCGCAGAGTCAGCACCACAATGTGCACCACACCATCGTGCAGTGAACGATGGGCGAGACGCGGCCAGGCATCGCCCCGCTCCATTTTCCCACCACTCAAGTGTTGCGTGTCCGCACAAAAAAAGCAGCAAACACAACCAGTGTGCACACAAACCCAATCAACACCCTCACTCGCTGAAGCACATTATTCGCATGGAGTGACAACAGTTGAGGACACACCAGCAGTAGCAGGCTGCATGGAATTTCTCATTCAACCCTGCGAAGAGACAAAACAACTCTGCGGATTAAGGTGGCAGCCCCTCGGTGTTTCCCGCAGCTCACATGGCAGGAATAATCCCACGCACGCATGGTTCCGGATCCCTCGGTGTTTGAGTGCGCACCAACAGAATGTACAAATACGTGCACACAAGATGACGTTTAAATAAGTAAACTCTTCAGCCTGTTTTGTTTGATGGTGTTGGCGAGCAATCCCACACAATCCAATCAAAGTGACACGCCGGACGGAATGGCTTCAGTTAATAAACAAAAAAAATAATTGCGTCAATGCAAAAAAGCAAAGAAAAGTTGGCGCATGCGATTGACAGTCCCAACTGAGGTGCCGAGGAGCACTTCGGTGTACAACTGGCCGTCCGGCAGAGAGGACAAATAAAACAAAAGGGCAGCAAACCCTCTCGTTCAATGTTTTCTAACAGCAACGAGAGAAAACAAAAACTAAAAGATACACCAAAGAAAAGTGTGTAGACAATTTCCTTCTCATCGTAGCCCCCATTTATCTCAACGTTGGGGTTTGTCGAAGTGCAAGAAATTATTCAAAACTGAGAAAAAATTACATCCGAGACGTTTGCGTGATGAGTATCCGGAATATTCTTGACGACAGTGAGGGAAAGGCAGACGCCTGAGTTCCCCCCACATTTGGCCTGACAAAAAAAAAATCCCACAAACATGCATTTGTATGGCTGCAGTAAAGCTTTGCCTTGACAAACCAACAACAGTATTAACAAAGGGAATAATAAGCAGGAAAAATCCAGGCGATTGCAAGGGCAAGGCATCTTCCCATTGGAATTATTGTACGTCCTAAGGAAGAGCACTTGACAGGATAAAGAATAAGA